TCCTCTTCCTGATGGTGTCACGAATCCTCGGTGTGTTCACTGTTTTCGGTCGTTCCCTTTTTGGCATCTCAGATTGTCCTTAGGCATTGTCCTCGATTCCTGAGAGCAGCGACAACATTCCGCACGGTTGAAGAGAGAACGCTGAGACGTATCGCAATGTCGCAGCTCCTGAAACCTTCTCTGAGCAGCTTATCGATAGTGGGTCGATGCGCACAAAAATTCATAGTGATTGTTCGGACGAACGGTCAATCAAATGACTTATATGGATTCTTGTACAGATCCAAAGCTTTCTAAAAGTCCCGAAAGATTTTGAAAATATCCATTGGCAGGGCACCAGCAAGCGCCAAACGGCGCCTCCTATACTTTTCAGCCATCACTCAGTTTGAACAAAACTAAATGATTGATTTCACGACTCGCAAAAGTGACCCTCATCTAATGCTGGCGGCGAATTTCGCATTCTCACGATTTTTCATGATTCCACTGAGAAGTTTCGCGTCGTGTTGTTTGTCTCACAATCAGACATAGCAAAAACAGGTGGCGCAGCAATTTCGAGGACGCCTATTGAAGTTACCAGTTCTCTCAGAACCAATGAGAAGTTTATTACGGGCTTGATATTAGACCAGCAAATCCTCATATACTTATTTATTTGAACTGCGCTGTTGATTGGCCCAAACAAACCAGAACTTGTGTTAGTCAATATAAATGGGGGATGTGACCGCATTCGTTTTTGGGAGGGCTAAAATACATGGCTATGTGCGCGCTCAGGGCGTAAGATTTAGCCCTAAGTACAATAGGAACACTTCTTGACTTGAACCGGCTTCTAAAAGTCAGAGGACAACCAAGCATAGGTAAACCTGAGCGACTGAATGAGGACCTCAGCGGTCCCACACACACTTACTGAATGAATATTTTTTTCCAAAAATGTTCTAAGACAATAGTCGACTTTACTGAAATTACAACTCGAATTCCGTAGCTACGGCTTTCTATTGAACATTGAGCCTTCTTGTTCAAAAATGATGATTTAGTGCCTTCAAAGATAATGAGGTATTTATGGTCGGGTGATGTATTTCAAAGATTGTTGAAGCGTTTGGGCGAGTAATGTTCATGTTTTTCGAATGAAACAGCCCAATGTTGTTGGTGAGCTCTTTAAATATAGACTACAGAGCTATCGAATACTGAGAAACACGAATAAAATATTTGTCTCGACAATCCATATCAAGAAAGAATGAATATTAATCAAGGAATCTCTCCAACACGAAGGTGGCCAGTTTTCCTTCCCCTTGTACCTCCTGAGATGCCGTCGGACTTTATTGAAATCAAAAGGGAAACAAGTTCCTTTACGTACATATCTCAAGTGAAACATACAGCAAATGCTTTGTCAAAGCTTGATACAAGTGAAACCAAACGAAAATATATAATTTTTTCGGATAAGTAAAAAAACAGATAACAGGAATAAACGAAAGTCTATGATATTTTTTCGGAGAAGTAAAAAAAAAAGATAACAGGAAAACCTTCTGATCTTATTGGGGTACGGTAAAAAACTTCTGGAACGGGTAATGATAATGTATAAAAAATATCTGGTTCATAACCACGTAAAATCGATTGCTTGAAAATATGGATGAAATTGTAAAGAACCTCGTAAACTCACACGAACTTCGTCGCCGAGTAGATCGAAGGAATTAAGGGTGTTGGCTTTTGAGTCGGTAGGCGCATGATCTGAAAAATTAAAAAATGAGCGGATATGCAGCTCTTTTTCGACTGTGTAAATACAAAGGATCTATGCGTGAAGCCAAGTACAAGTGTGATCGTCGCTGCTTCCGAAAAGGTGACCTTCTACAAATGGGAAGCCTCTTTCTATGTATACATCCTCTTCCGACATGAACTGAGAAACCTCCTGCACCCTTCTCGAATTTTATCCCGAGGAAGACGCTCATAACCAGCATTAGTGACCTCTCAATCAGACTGTTTTCTTGATTTAAGTCGAGGGAAGGATAGAAGGCGCTTGTCAATTCCGTTTCTGGAATCCACCTCGCAATCGACTTCCTTTTTCCATTCTCTTCCACTTTTCCATTTCACAAGGGCGTTTCAAATGAGTATTTGGCCTACATAATGACTTGGGGTGAACAGCCAATGGACAACTCAACGCTTCTACCATCCCAGACCAATCTGGTACAATTGACCGATCTCTGGGGTATGGAAGTTTTTGTTGGTTGGAGCAGATGCCGATCCCCGCAGTAAGGAAAACGATGCGTGCTCTGCTTGCCGCCAAACCGAACAAGGGTGAAGTCGCGGATAATATGTTGGCCTGTATCGTGCGAGCAAGTGATCGTTTTTCCCACTCCATTCCCCTTCCCAGCGCCCGTCCTCCTTATCGAGCTTGGTCATGGTTCTGTCGAATACCCATGCAAGCCATCTAAAGCTGCAAACGAATAACATCTCTGATGCTAGCAGAGCTTGCAGCTTCCTTATATTCCTCAAAGTGGGGCTGTGAAAGGCTCCAGAAGTATCCACTAAAACGTCACATTCGCTTTTCACATTCCAGTCACTGCAAAATCGTTATGCTCGCGCGGACATCAAAACGCAGCCCCGATTGCTCGAGTTTCTCCGGCGTAAGCTTTTTCTAGTCTAATACTGCCATTAAATGGTAATGTTACCGTATGCGAAGCAAATGTCTGCGTACACTATTCCATACTTCACACTGAAAATGATGGCTATTACGATGCACCTGCATATCGTTCTTACACCACGAAAACCCCCGCGAAGGAAAATCCTCAAAGAGAAAATGTGGAGATGTCCACTTGGTTATGGGCATACTTAGACATTCCCGGGTGTTCTAGTAGGGAGAAAATCTACTTCATCCTTGAGAAACTCCAGATTAACAAAATGATGGCACTTAATATTACGGAAAAAGGTCGAAACCAAGAGAAAAATTGGAAAAGCGATCCCACACAGTGTAGGAACATAGAAATAGCTACTGCTCATACCTGGTACTCACAGGAGATGAATGCCCTTCACTATATTTCACTTAGCTAGACCATTTAAAAACAAGCTTCCTGTGACTGGAATAAGTCCTTGACCCTACCTTGGAATGAGTGGAATAGCCCCTTTTCGCTGAGAGTTAACCACAAGAAGAGCAGTGCTGGGGTTGGAGTAGAACCGTCTCGTATGATGCTAGAAAATGGTCCAAGTTGAATAGTCTGCTTCACAGATAAATCGTATGGACTGGATTTCCAAAGTGACCAAAGAAGCAGAGAGTGTTTTCTCCCACTACCATACTCGTGATTCAGGGCCACCGCAATCGGTCAAGTGGGTCATTTGGGAAGAAAACCTGTGATGCGCACTTCTAGCTAAAAGCCATTTAGATTATGGTAATAAAGCGAATGATTTTCGAGGAAGGTTTCTTAAAATGAATGATGTTCACATACCTCCGTGATGCTCATGCCCGTGCTCATGCATATGTTCATGCTCATGTTTCTGCTCGTGCTCATGATCATGCTTCTGTTCGTGCTCATGATCATGCTTCTGTTCGTGCTCATGATCATGCTTGGGCGGCTCTGGATGCACCGGCTCGTTCTTAGGTATATCGATCAGATCCCCGTAACTTTTCTCGAGTACGTCGTCGTGTGGATTGTGTGACGACATATCCTGTTTCTGAAAGGAAATTTAAATAGACGGACCTGATTTTGGAAAAGCTACACTTTAAAAAGGAAGGATATCCAGAAAACACCACTCATTCTGAGAAATTGATGTGCACCAAATGAATTGGCAGATAAAAGCTTCATTTGGTTAAAGTCAAATGAGAAGGAAAATTCAGCCACGTACAACAGGGTACAATAAATAACAGCGAAAAATTCTTATCCCAAAATTTTTTGAAACATTTTCGAATGCAATTTGCAAAGCCTGCCAAACAGCACAAGTAGTTTTATGGCGTAGAATATGCCTCAATAAAAATTTGAACAAAATTCAGAAATTTAGGAGGGTGGAGTATTATAGAATTACGCCTACAGGTTTAGATTCTCAAGGAGTGACAAGAAGGAGGCAGTTTTGAAAAGTGCTGAAATATATTCTTTTGTAAAGCAGAGAAAATTTAGACTAAGAAAATTCGCCAGGAGAGAAATGTTCCCAAGACCCCTCCATACGTGAAACGATAGGAAGCGAACTCTTCTCCCACTCGACCTTCAAGAACAAAATCTGAGCTGGGACCTTGTTGGAGTAAAACTGGTGTGAAGGTAATCTGCATAGCGGGGATCCAAGCCCACCTCCTTCCATAGGACTGTCCACCCCAAAAAGCGGGCTTACTATTAGGGCAAACCACAAAATCTACGGGTGGTCACTTAAAAAAGCTGGAGCTCTCGCACAGAAAAAAAGCTTAATGAAAATTGAGAAAACAAGAAATGTTGAATGCTGAAGTAGTGATTCTCTGGTGAAATGGGTTGAAAAGAAAAACTTCACGAGAAAAATGAGGGGGTACAGAAATCTTGATGTAAAGGAGATCAAATTGTTCAACAGTAATGGGAGCGTCAGGTATGAACAACAGCATTCAATGTGTAACTCCCGAATAAGTATAAGATATCAGATACCGCCTCCGAACTTATCTGAGGTGAGGTAGTCGTTCACTATAAGATAAGCAAAGGCAACGGACGGAACAAGGAAGCCATAGCTTCAGACGTGAACGGCCATGGTGGCTGGCAGCTTGCCATGGGGCCAGTCAGGGAACTATCGCCCAAGCGATGGACGAGTTAATGCCCCTCTTTCTCACGGCAAAGCGATACGCTGTAAACTTTGTTGCTAGCAAAACACGTTTTTACAGGGCAAAGATTGTAAATTTCTGTTGACCTTCGGAGATGGCGAAGAGGTGGGACTTTCTGAAGGAATGACGTCGTTGGAGGGAATTCAGCGTCCCATGCTAGTGTGATACAGTAACCCCCTAGTGCCCCACCAGGTTTGTGGTATAAGTGTGGCCAGAATCGAAGGCCAAAGAACAGTAGGCACTTACAGTGTCAACTTTGCTGATTATACCTGAGATGGGCAGTTTTGCATGGAAGTTGTAAACATAAACAGACTCGCACCCTAAGAGAAGAAACCAATCAAGAAAAGATTTTCGCCCGGACTTCCAGAATGAGCACGTTGTCTTGAACTAACAGCCAAAGCTGACAGGGAATCAGGGATCGGAGTAAGTCTATTGACTGAACTCGTCTTCGTTGCTGTTGAAGTTACTTTTGACCGGCTAGGGTATCCACAGAAGCAGATTTCCTAAGAATAGCCGAATGATGTGCTAAAAATCCTTAAGCAAGAAGATTTACGTAAATCTAATCCGTTAAGGAAGTTTAAACCCCGGGGTACTATAGCTTCAACCAGTTCAGCCCTAGACGTTGAAGGAGTATGGCGTATCAACTGTTCAGGTAAATGTTGTGACAAACAGCTTCATTGGCGAATGGAGGGTGAGAAAGGATAAAAGAAAAACTTTTGAATAAAAAGAAATTCGAGAACTTTCAGAATAAATGAGATTTTGCCACGAATCCAAGCACGATCCTACATAAGGTAACCCAGTACCCAGTTCCAACGACAACAACTACTGCACAACCCTTGGCAATCTCACACCCTTAGGCGCGGCCGTATTAGCACCCCNCCCCCCAAAGAGAAGTCTTTGCTTGGAAGTATCATGCCTAAGGCACTTACTGCGAAATGAGAAAAATATGTTCGGCTTTCATACAGATAGAATGATCGATGAGAGCGTTTGCTCATGGGCGGGATTAAAATGAGAATTAATGAATGGTGGTACACTGTTAATGGGTCCGGTCCGGAGAAATGAATAGAGCTCCACAAAAACGTGCACACGGAGGATGTAATCCCAACTGGCTTCTCATGCAGTGAGTGGGAAACAAAGGATAGTCGATGAAGTGCTCACTTGATTATTACCTGTGGGAAGCCACAATATTTTCAAGAGCCCTTCAAGACTATGCAGACATTTGAATGGGCACATAATTAACATAAATTACTTGTCATTTATTATAATTCGTTTCTCGTTGCTCAATCCGTCGATATCGGAAAAACAGAGCAGTCACCACCTTCGAAGCGCCGCTGGAACAGCACTGCTTGGAAGACCATCTCCACCATCACCGGAAAGAGAAGGATGACTCAGGAGCTATGGGTTTTGGAGCAATTCAGCTGTCGGTAGTGATAGAATTGGAGGATTAGAGTTGCCAATACTCGAAAAATCCCGAAAGCAGATCCTCGGTTGAGAGGTTTAAGGAGCCCTATGCATTCATACGTAGGCTCCTTCAAGAAAGCCGTGCCCTCACTCAATGAATGAAATCCATACCAACTACAGTAGTTCTTTCCGGCCAAGCGACCATGTTCCCATCTGTCATCCGCCCGTCTCTGTACAAATCAGAGGTGGCATTTTAGAAAGTTGACAACTGAAGACAAATTGCACGCCATGCCCTTTACGAGAATGCCAACAGAACAACCCTATTTTCCCTGGTGAACCAGACAACCGCTTTTTTGAGGCCACGAGTACTCTCCAAAAAAGTCTTACTATGTTTCAAGACAGACTCACTTGGAATCCGCTACTTTGAACCGTCGGATGAACGGCAGACTAGTATCTACTCGGGGGAGCTACCAGTCTGTCCACATTCCTGTCCCTACATTGCTTCTGCCACCCGAACGATACAAAACAATCGCAAGAAGCACAGAGTCAGGTTGTAAAATGAGTCAGGCTTCACTTAATTGGCCCAGCAATGACATCAGGTTTCCTTAGGTTGCCATCGCTAGTCGAGCGATGGTGCTTGGCTCCTTCTATCAATACAATNTGTACTACCAGAGCCTTGCCAGCGGAGGAAATACCCGAATGAACGTCGCTGACAGAAATCCATTTTGGTAACAAAATATGCGAAAAATCTAAGTGCCCGGAACCAGTATAGCATGTATGTCTTCGAATTTTTTTTTGAGGCTTGGGAAATACCGTACCTGCAATCAGATGTTATCAACTATGCCGCACCATGTACTCATGGCTCCAGCACTTAACAGCTCAGTGTAAACTGTAAAGTAAAGCAGAACAGGCAGGACCGCTCACTTAAAAGTGGTGATTTCATCAGCAGCAACGGCACAAGTCAGCACGAAAACAACTTTTTCAATGATGCCAGCAACTACGAACTACACGATAAGCGAGTCTTGGCATAGCGGCTTGGGCTTATTGCCCATCGAGGAAATAGCTCGAAATCAGTTTCCGAAGAACCAAATCTACTTATAATTCATATAAAAAGCAATACTGCTGTAGAAGTGATGAATTGGCTCTCTCCTTCTGAGTCCATCGCATCCCTGGTTCACCATAGCTGCACGACGAAACGCCACCAGTCGGCTTCCTAGTTGATCCAAAATAAATATGTGAATTTCACGGAATCTGTACATCCCTTAATCTACGCTTTCGTCTAGTGAGATTGGAGCAACCTTTGCTAGAGCCCCTACTCATCCCCCCTCCCCCTCTCCCCCGAGTTTCATGAAGGATTTACTTTCCAACGTACTGGCCGAAAAGACAGCTAGAAGGGTAATGGATATCTGCTTCTTACCATACCACCATCGATCGCTCTCACCAATTCTGTCCTCTCTAGCTTCATTTTCCTCTCCATTCTTTGGCACATAATTTCCATAGAGCTTTCCTTTTAAATTAACCTCATGGTTTTTTGTCTCTCGCCGGAAGGTGACAGGCTGTGGAACGCTGACAGCTTCTGCTGAGTCCGATTCGACAGGAAAATCACCCTCGGGTCTGCAGGCTTTGTGAAAGGCCAGAAGTAAGATTGATTTCTGAGTGGTAGGAAGAAAATTCGGAGGAATGTTGGCGAGCCAATCGATGAGCTACCGAACGACCAGAAAGAAGGGAAGAAGTGGGACGAAGGGGAAGGAATCAAGCATTGTGTAGGATCGTGCTGAGGAGGCGATAGCGTTGACATACCAAAAAAGGAAAACGGCTAAAAAACAGGGGTGATCGAAATCTCAGATTAAGCCATGCGTGAGCATGGTATCTGAGAGGAACTGAGGAGCATAGGGTATCAGGAGCAGGACTGAGCTCCCTTCACAATAAACATAGGCAACAGTGAGGGTACAGTTACTCCAACTAGGCAATTGATCAAGCTCAAATATCTCCACAACTATCAACAACTACAGTATTTACTGCGATTCTTCACAACGTCAACTGATGTAGTCCTCCTTCAGTCACTTTACGTTGTCTATAGCGTCAGCTAGTTTGATTAGCTGCGGAAGGGCGATAAAAAGGTGTAAAAAGGCTAGATAATAAGCGTAATACAACACGCCCGTCGTACAGAAAACCCAGACAGTTCGTTGTAATGTGTAAAGTAACATTCCGACAAAACTCGTCGGCGCAAGGTAGTAACAAGTGGAAAGTTGCGTGTCCGGCTGTCTGTTTGGGCTGAGTCACTTCGCTGGAAGTTTCTCCGTGAGCCCACTAACATTCCACGATCACAAGACTACCGGTATTTGAACAGTCGGCAGTACTGCTGGGCTGTACATACACCTGCGAAGCTTTGGGGAAAATGGGAAAAAGTTAAAGGGTAAGGCCATTGTTAGACTAATTTCTATGGTAGAAGGGCTGTTACGCTAGAACCAATAGTGTCGTGACAACTGTA